AATTACTTTAATTACCGTATCATTGAGACTTAACGTAGTAATACAATTCATACCAAGTCACGACATTGTTTACAAATATAAATATAATAAGTAAACGTGAAATATTTCAATCGATTGATTTTCATTACGTTTCAAATGCACGTGTACTTGATTTGTAACTTTATTATTGATTTTTTTGAAAACAATATTTAATATAAAAAAAAAAAAATTAGGATTATACATTTGCAATTTATTATTTGCACGGTGAATCAATCCTTTTTGGCTTGTACTACGATTTTTGGGTACATTTTGTACCCAAAATAAGAGTATATATATATATATATATACTCTTGACTCAGAAATAAATTATAATCAATAACAATATTAATTCGGCATCTATCGATAATAATTGATAAGAATTTTTTTTAGACAAACGAATAGAAACTTTTGATCGAGCTCACCTTTTTATCTTTTTCCATCGTGTTTCTCGAGTAATTCACAAAGTGCGGCGATGTATGTTTGAGCCATTTGAAGAGTCTCAAATTTACTGAGCTTATGATCGGCTCCTAAACTTGGTACAACCTCGCGCAATTTATCGAAGGCATCGTTCAAACCATTCATGCGACGTCTCTCACGTGCGTTCGCAGCTAATCTACGCCTTTTGAGAACACTTGGTGATGGGGGTACGTCGCTCGAACGTCGTCTTCCTCTTCTTGGCTGTGTCGTAGGAGATGATTGATTTTTCTATTATAAAAAAAAAAGTAGTAACAAAAACAAATTTTTGAAAAATTTACTTTTAAATTTACTTTAGATTTAAAGAAAGATCGATTAACGAAGAATAGAAAATTTTTATTTTTAATATTATTTATGATCAACGATAAATTAAATATTATTGTATAAATTTTGTATATATATATATATATATATATATATATATATATATATATATATATGTACATATATATTTAATATAATTATTATTTTTCTTCTAAAAGATTTCATTTTTGTATATCCGCAAATAATTAGAATCTTTAAAGATCAGAAAGTTTTCTTTGAAATGAAATTTTTCTTTTTTAAAACCTTATCCCTCTTTTTTAAATTCTTTCTTTAATTATTAAATTAACGTTTAATAATAAATGTTTTTCTTTCGAACCTGAACCGTTGATGATATCGCGTCCCAACAATTTCTTCGAGACTCGACAATCGTACAAACTGTCTTGTCACTCTCCATAGATTGATATTTAGGTTTTTGCGCGAGATTCTCATAACAGTAAGCCGTCGGATGATATTCCATTGAATTATCCTCGTACAAGGTAGTTCTAGGTGACATTCCATGATCCATTTGATGTTGACTCTCGTATCTGTGAAATAATCGTTGACTTGTTACGATTCAATGTGCTCGAAATAATAAAAAAAAAAAAAAGAGAGAAAAAAAAGGAGAAAAAAAAAATTCCCCATGGAAACTTTGAATCGTGCGTGAGAAACATTTTTCACAATGTGATCAAACATGTGAACAAAACCGTGCAACAAGGACAACAGAGAAAAATAGTCGAGCAAAAATGTTACCGATTATCGTCGATTAATTTCAAACTTTTTCAAAGTTCAATTTTCTTCCCTGGAAAAAATGTCGCTAAGGAATAGAAAAATGAAATACGAAGAAACAAATGATAAAGAAAAAAAAAAAAAGAAAGAAGAAAGAAAAAACAAACATCGTAAAGAAACGAACTAACCGTTGTGGTGTAACGGGTGTCAAAACACCACAAGGTCCTCTTTCGTATCCCTCAGGTGTTCTCGAATACTCTGTTTCCAAATTTTTCGCATAATCAAGATTCTCAAGTTCTCTTCGTGGCGTTAATTCACCTTTGTACACATAATTCTCTCCGTACATTGTCTTAACGTGTTCGCAATTTGGCGAATTATATGGCGAAGGATAAAGTGGATCATACGTCCTTCCAGTTGATGTCGAATAAGTGGACGTTAATATGTCCGAGGAGCAGGATTGATAATCGCTATGATGATTGGATAATAAAGCCATTATCAATTGAAATCCTGCATGTACCGTTTTAAAATCAGATCATCAGTAATCTCGTACATATCCTCCTTCAAAGAGAATATATTTTTTTTTTCGTTAACATCGCCTAACTTTGTTAGATTTCACTTGGAAACTCTATCGAATTTCACTTTCACGATCGAATTATTCCTATCCTTGTCATTCTTATTTATCTTCTACTATCTAATTTCTCACAATGAATAAAAAAACACATAGCTCGTGAAATCGTTCGAATATTATTTATTTATTTATCTTTATTTTTTTTTTTTGTTACTTCGATATTCTAGAATTCACTCTTTTATCGAAAAGAAAAGGGAAGCTTCACCAATCTCTCCTCGCCCGTCTGTTCGTCGATTGAAAAAGAGGAAAAAAAAAAAAAAAAAAAAGAGAGAAAGAAACAACAACAACGACAGAAAAAACTGTTTCGAAGAGCACGAACTAAAAGACACGGCGAGAAGATCTTCGCGGTGTAAAGGCTCGAGTTTGAGTGTGGCGCGTGCCAGCAAGTTCTTCGCCGCATCAACATATGGTTCCCACTTGGTTTCGTGCTCATCCTTATAGGTAATACGTGCACCTGGTGGGCCCAGTCCAACTCCTCCTGCGCGTGTATCTACCCCTCTCCACGTTTCTTTCTTTTCCCTTCGCGAACTACTCCTCGTCCTGCGAGAATGCCACCAAGCATCCCCTGCTTCCTGTTCTGACGTACCTGCGTAGGCTCTCCATGAGTTTAAAGAGACACTTCAGAGACGACGAGTAGAGGAAAAAGAAAGAAAAAAAAAAAGAAAAAAAAAAAAAGAAGAGGAAATATTTATAATGAATACTTGATAGAAACAATTCAACAGGTAGTATCATCGAATGAGAATTACCGTTAGGATATCGTTCTAATAATTTGATCGATCATTTAACGATTCAACAGGAAAGTTTCCAATTTTTATTCAAATTGATAAATATAATAACGATGAGAATTATCGGTTTGGAATATTTTGGATTCGATCAAATGATAAAAAGAAAAATTGTTCAAATCTTGTTGAACCGAATGATAATCATTCTTTAACACTTATCATTTTCATATCAACGTCGACATTTCTTACACACCAACTCTAACGTCGAATTAGACTCGACATTATACAACGCGATTTTTTAAATAATTTAAAATATTTCAATTTGATTTTTCTTTATTTTTCAAATAATCTTCATTCTTATCTCAACGTCGTCATTTCTTACACATCAACTCTAACGTCGAATTAGACTCGACATTATACAAAGCGATTTTTTAAATAATTTAAAATATTTTAATTTGATTTTTCTTTATCTTTCAAATAATCTTCGTAATACATGATTTTAAGGAGTATCCTTTTTTGATCTTTTACATAAATTAATTATGGAGATATTGATAGGTAAAAAATAAATTAAAGAGAACAAAGAGTTAAGATCTTTTCGTAATCCTAATTATACCGAAAAATATAACGAACTTTGTTCGTAACAAATGTATACATACATACACACACACACACACACACACACATATATATATATATATATTTGTGTGTATGTATACATTTGTAAATTGTTACGGTTCGTTGATGATTTACTATGGTAGTTCATTTCTTTTTTTTTTATTTTTTTTTTTTTTTGAAGGAGAAGGGCGACGACAAAAAGGGAATGGTATCGATAGAATCGTCCGGCGGTCCCTTTAAATTCTAAGGAGATGCCAAGATAATCTCTTCGATGGCGGGAAGAAAAGTAGAGTAAGGGAGTCTAAAAATGGTGTCGAGTGGAGGGCCACGCTAAAAAGAGGGTACAACGGTCGCGTGCTACTACAGGCATTCGCCTTAAGACAATTAGCGATATTCATCTTAGACGGTTTGCCTTGAGACCCTTTTCGCAAGGTGTTCCCTTTAAAGATCCTCAGGATAAATGAGAAGTGGTGAAGAGGGGGAAGAGTGAATTCAGATGGGGTCACTTCACGTGAGTTCACATTTTTACTGGAAATATTATAATATTTTCAAATTTCGAATTTGTTTCAATTTGGCATTATCAAAAATTAGTGATTCTTCGAATGATATCAACGATATATGCGGCGTATTCTTCTTCCTTTTCTTTTTTCTTTTTCTTGTTATTTTTTTTTTTCATTCTATCAAAGAACGTTATCAAAACATTGTTTCGATCGTCAATCAAAGTGTCATTTCATTCCACGATATTATTACAGATCTATGGAATAAAATTATTTTTATATATTATAAAGGCTAATTCGATTATATTAATATTCAATATTTTTAGAAATTTGTTTAAATTCATATTTATGATTGTCAATCAAATCAACGTGATATAAATATTTATTTATAAAAAAAATTTCTATTTTAATTAGATATCATATTTAATGGATTTTGAAATATAGTATTAGAAAATGAACCAAGGGTACGTTGGAAAATGAACTTTCATTGATTCCACCATGAGAAGAAATCATGATCATCGTGGAAGGTCGTTAAGGGACCTTTCATCGAGTTGGCTCCTTTTCATTTTCGATTCAATTAGAGCAGAACTTTTCTATGATAGATCTCTCTCTCTCTCTCTCTCTTTCTCTCTCTCTCCCTCTCTTTTTCAAATTTCAGCAATCTGTCGTCGATCTTTATAAACGAATTAGCTACGAGATAGCCATATGGTAGCATAGGCACGCGTTCAACAAGCCAATAATGATCACTATCGTGACTTCTACATTAAAAAGCTGCAAATAGAATACTAATAATTTTAGAGAAATCACATTGATAATTATCGATCGAATATACATACATATATACATACATATATATATATATATATATACACATATATACATACATATATATATATATATATTAACGATAGATCATTTTAAACTAAGACATGTTTCTTCATTGAGGTAATTCGTTATTGATCCTATGTGATCCATGACTCGAGAATGAGTTCGAATCAATTGATTCAGCTATATAGATCATCGCATTGAACAGAGGACCGTGAAATAGGAAAACGAAGTACGTACCACCTTAAACATTTTATAAGAGAAACATAATTAGTAAATAATTATAGTTTAGATTCTAAGCCATCAAGAATAAATTAAATAAAATTATTATTATTATTATTATCATTAATTATTTATTATTATGTTATTGTTATTGTTTTTTGTTTTTTTTTTTATTCTTACCGCACTAAAGTTCTCCAAATTCAGTGTATAAAATTTGCCAGCGGTTAATTGAATGGGTGTTTGGCTTCTAAGTATCATTAGATTAAAAATTTTTCTCGTTCTTAACGAAGCACGATACCAATTACCATTTGCTCTGATAATAATGTGATTTTTTTTTTTTTTTAATTTAGAAAAAATTACTTTCAGAATACTTTCCATCAATTCTTATATAATTATTAAACAAAAAAGAATTTTACTTACGCATATTCGCATACTCGTATACTATGATCGTACAATTGTTGAGCTGGCAAACTTTCGAATAACAAGTGACAAGTTTGTGCGATGGCAAATGAACCATATCTGAATGCTTCATCCGGTTTATTCAAATGCATTACAGCCTGATCATGAAATAAAAAAAAAAGGAGAAGAAGAAAAAAAATAAAAAGAAAATTAGATGTAAATACAATAATCATTGTTACATTCTATTATTTACATAATCTTTGTTATTATCACGATAATATATTAATAATATATTACACTTGCTTTATGAAATATTTTATCGATAATATTTATAACAATATTAACGCTTTTTTTTTGTCAAAACAATTTTACAAAAATTAATGATATTTCTTCGATAACATTTATAATATTTAATAAATAAAAAAAGATACGACGTTTAATGTAAAAATAATATTTAAGAAAATTTACCTGAAATCCCGTGAAGCTAATGCAAACCATGTTCAATCCAAGTTGTACAAAGAAGGATACTGTATTTGCTGACTCGATCATTTGTGAATATCTTAAAAGCGATATTAATGAGAAATTAAAAATTATTATAAACGTAAAAGTTATTTAATGAAAAGTCATTTGAAATATTTCATTATTCGTCATTAAAATACCAACTGTAAAATGTGATTATGTAGTTTAACGCAATCTCCAGCGAGTTTACAAGTTTTATCATTCATTTTATTTGGATAAATGTCGACGTTCATGTCACCGTCCTTGACAACATTTTCCAAACGATTACTGATATTGGATGTGAAAAAAAAAAAAAAGAAAATAATAATAATTTATCAATTTTACAAATTAATTTCTTAAATTAACGATCAAAATCAATATTACCCTAATATCGTTATGATACCGCAAATATGTTGCACGTAAAATACGAACATCGAGTCGATACCAACAACAGCAGCACAAAATCCAATAGTACCAAAGTACGAATGTATTAATACGAAATAATAATACTTTTCCATGCTTATGAAGTATTCCGCATGAAATATTAAAGGATACTGTTCCGTTTCGTTTCCAGCAAGGCCGAAAAATCGCGATGACAGTGTTAACACTGGGACCATTAAAAATGGCATCATCGATCCATAGACACATACTGAAAAACAACATAAAAATATTAATAATTTATAAAAAGAGAGATAGAAAGAGAGAAAGCCATTTAACTTTGAAGTCACATAATCTTATATACTAATTGATTATAAATTAAGAAACGCTTGAATGTCTCATTAGAGGCATTAAAAACAAAAAAAAAGGAATAAATAAAAAAAGGTTTCTTAATTTTACGTGTAAAATAATTTTAAGAATACAATATAAAATATCCGACTACGGTTAAAGTCGGAAATTTAATGATTTTTAATTTTTCTAATGGAATATTTTATATTTTTTGTTCTTTTTTTTTTTTCTTTCTAATTAATCAAATATTATAATACATTGTATTTTAAATAATTATAAGCTGAAAGTAATACTATAATTATTTTTCTATAAATACGAAAAATATGAAATTGTAAAAGATTAAATAATATTTCTACGGATTGATAATTTTTCGTAAATAATGTTGACAAGGTCTCAATCAATAATAATTAAATAATAATTAATTTCTACTTTATCATTTATATTATTAAAGTCAATGGAAAAATCCAACTCTCATACTAATTTCCAAAATAATAATAATAATAATAATATAAATGCTAATACTGTGATAAATATAAAATAATAATAATAATAATAATAATAATAATAATAATAAAAATAAATAAAAATCTTATGCGAATGTCTCGAAAGATTGTGCAAAAAAAAAAAAAAAAAAAAGAAAAGAAAAAAATAAAAAGAAAAAAGAAGAAAACGAAAAAAGAGAAAATCAGATAGAAAATTCCAAGAATATGAAAAGAATCCGTAGGTGTGTTAAATCTGATGTACCTGCATAACCTTTGCTCAACAACGTTCCAATGGAATAATAATCGTGAAGAATACGAATCTCCTCGTCCTTCTTCATGGCCATTCTCCAGTCGTCTTGCATCGTCACCAAAAGCTTTTTCATCTATGAGCAGATATCATTTTATACGACGGTAATATTTAACGGAGAAGTCTAGCTTTATCTCTTATGTACATAACTACACCGGTACATGCCTTAGCACTGTTGAAAATAAAGTTAACGATCTTCACGACTATCATCAAGCTGACCAGGAAAGGCGCGAAATTTTCCAATGCAATATCACTGTCATAATTCCATGCCGCTATCATACCGCCACCCTGTATATATCATAGTCATCATCTTCGATAATATGTCCATTAGTGTGTTAATTATCGTACACTTAGGTATGTATATTTTAACTTTTCATGAATAACATTTTCTTTAACGTTCAAATGGATCATAAAAATTGTTCCGTGAAGTATTACGAAAAATTAATATTATTATATTATATTATTTTCACATGTTATGTTCTTGCACGATTAAAATTCAAGAACGAACATATTTATTTATTTTTATTCTTTTTTTTCGTTTTTTCCTTTAATTTTCTTAACTCTCTCTCATTTACTCGATTAATTTAATTTAATCTATTTACATTTATAAAATAATCAAGGTTAAAATTTCAAGATTTTTAAAAGTCTTCCGTCATAGATAAAATTTGAGAAACGCAATTATATAATACAATAATCGAAAATTCGTTGGAATTAGTTTATTATTAAAAATCATTTTTGACTTGATTTATATTAAAATTAATATTATTGAAATATTATGATCATTATTATTATTATTATTATTATTATTATTATTATTATTATTATTATTATTATTATTATTATTATAATTATATTTACGCAAATCTACGAATGATGGATTTTGATAAATCGAACGTTATAAATATTAACATCAACAACTATGGACGAACTTTAATATAATTTAAATCGTATGTAAAAATGATTACACATTAATTGAATACACAAAATTACGGATTCATATGAAACTTGTATTCGTATAACACCATATTATAATTATTCATTTAATGAGATAATTAAATCATCTTAAATATCTTTTAATTTATAAAAAAAAAAAAAAAAAAAAAAAAAAAAAAGGAAATACGTGAAAGAAATTTATCAAAAAAATATATGTAAAATATATAAAAGAAAATTTTTATAACGTATGTTATATATCACGTATATCATACGTTGTACATAATAAACGTATGATCAAAAAAAAAAAAAAAAAAGAACAAAGAAAAACGAAAAACGAATAGATACCTGTAAAACAGCTTGTGCAGTAACAAACGGCAAATATACAAACGAAACCAATATCTTTTCCATATTAGTTTGATGCGGCCATTGTCCAACAATACGCATCAGTCTTCTCGTGAATTTCATGTATCGTAGTTGCGTGTTGTCCATTTTGACGAGTTCGACATCGTCGGACTACTGTTACCTTCGACGAACAAAATTTCGATTTCACGTTCGGTGAAACAGAAAGCTCATCGAACATTCCGTTTGAAAAGTCTATCTATCTACATACATCCTAATAACGAAAGATTTGCATGTCTGATGATGATAATAAGCGAGGTATAATTAGAAAGGGTATTTGTGAAAAATCGATCGTTTGTCTCTCTTAGTTCTAACATAATCGATCCTACTAATTATGGCGAAAATGCCATTCACTTGATAGTATGTATTTATACGTGTGTGTGTGTGTATGTATGTGTGTATGTGTGCCTGTACGTGTGTACCTATACACATATAAATTTAATATTTCAAATCTTTCATTTTCTGGCCTATGTATAACTGTCTTTGTTCGTTTTACCCTTTTCAAAGCTTTTATCTTCTTCAATTTTCTGCAATTAAAGAGAAATCTTAAGCTCTCAAATTCAATCTCTATTATTCTTTCTATCTCTCTCTCTCTCTCTCTCTCTCTCTCTCTCTCTCTCTCTCTCTCTCTCTCTCTCTCTCTCTCTCTCTCTTTTTACTTATTTAAGTACTTTATTCTTTACTGTAGTTTGAGTATTGATTTAGAACTAATCGAATTCAAATTTATGAATGAAGACAATTGAACATTTTTTGATTAAGTTCGAGAATAATAAGCGAAGAGATTAATATTTGGTAATTATTTGAGAAAATAAAGTATCCCTTATTATAAACTTTATTTTCAATGATTTTTTTTTTCTCTTCTTTCTTACTCTTTTTTACTTTTTCTCTCTCTCTCTCTCTCTCTCTCTCTTTTTACTTACTTAAGTACTTTATTCTTTACTGTAGTTTGAGTATTGATTTAGAACTAATCGAATTCAAATTTATGAATGAAGACAATTGAACATTTTTTGATTAAGTTCGAGAATAATAAGCGAAGAGATTAATATTTGGTAATTATTTGAGAAAATAAAGTATCCCTTATTATAAATTTTATTTTCAATGATTTTTTTTTCTCTTTTTTCTTCTGATTACGTTCTTTTTAAGATGACGATGATGAGTGATAAAGATTGAAAAAGACAAGAAAAAAAAGGACAGATTGTTCTTATCAATAACACTTAATATTCATATTCATATAACTACGAAGACACACGAATACATTTAACGACACAAAGATCATAATTATTGATCTATTCGATAATACAATAAAATGTTAAACAATTGAAAATTATAATTCTATTGTTTTTGATGATTTTTTAAGTAGATTTCAAGAATTATTGTACGGAACATAAAACCGTGAAATAGGAAAAGGAAGTTCGCACGACCTTGAAATAAATAACAAAATATAAAATTTCATCATTGATAAAAATTAATAATATAATCGATTAATATAATCGATAATATCATCAATAATATAATCAATAATATAGTCGATTAATATTTATAATCGATAATATCATTGATTGATTTCATTTTTACAAGATCGATCTTACCCTACTAAAATTTTCCAAATTTAGAACATATATTTTTCCAGCGGTTAATTGAATTGGTTTTAAACATCTCATTAGCATGATACTCAAGTCCGTTCTAGTGGATAACGATGTTTGATACCATTTTCCACTGGTACTAAAATATATAAGAGAAAATAATTTTTACTTTTAAAAAATAATAAAAAGAAAAAAAAAAAGGACACTCGTACACATTTTTTTTAATATCATTTTTCTTTCGGCATAATAAAAATTTTGCCTAACATACACGTACGTATATATTTTTCGATTTTAAAACGTCATTTGCATTACTATTTTTTTTTTTTTTTTTTTTTTTTTTTTTTTTTTTTTTTTTTTTTTTTTTTTTTTTTTACTGATGTATACAATCTCTTACGCATATTCGCTAATTCGATCGGTATGATCGGCCAATTGTTGTCCTGGCCAACTCTCGAGGAAGACGACGAATGTTAAGCATATTGTAAAACATGCATATCTCAAAGCTACTTCTGGCATATCCATTTTCGTGGCAGCCTAAACTTGAAAAAAAAAAACTAAGTCATATTATTTAAAACAAAAAGAATTAGATTATAATATCAAATTAATCGTTACTAACCTGAAATCCTGTAAAACTTATGCCAATCATATTTAAGATAAGTTGAAAACAATGAGAAATCGTATTCGTCCTTTCGAGTTTGTTGGCGTAACTTTCGAGTTATGTTAAAAAAAAAAAAAAAAAAAAAAAAAAAAGGAAAATAAAATAATTACAAAGTATTTTATTCGAAAGTAATTGTAATAAAAATTATTGTAAAAAATATTTAATCTTTTCGTATACCCTGTATATTTATATTCAACGAATTTAATACTAACTTTATTACATGATTATGAAGTTTCACGCATTCCTTCATAAAATGATGTCCCTCATCGTCACGAGGATTTGGAATTAGATTTATTTCTAAATCGTCGCTCTTCACGATGTTCTCTAAATAATATCTGCTTGAATAAGTTTATTTTCATTATGGAAAAATAAAATGCAATTAAAAATATCATTTATTTACCATACAAAAAAAAAATATATATATATATATAAATAATATATATGTACTTCTAATAAATAGTACATATGATCTTTATTTATATAGTAAGTGAATAAAAGGAAATTAATGAATATTAAAAAAAAACAAAACAAAAAAAAAAAATAGAAATAGAAATACAGTAAATACGTATGTATGAATATTGACGTAAAAATTTTACCCTAAAATAGTGCATAATGCACAACCATGTTGAACGTACAATAGATTAATCGTATCCATTGCAACGACAATCGTGATATATCCTATCGTAGCAAAATAAGAATGTATTAATAAAGGATAATAATAAGTTTCCACATCGATGAAATAATCAACTCGAAATAATAAAGGTTTGTCATTAGTCGCGTTAAGAGCTCCAAAAGCATTGGCAACATTTAACAAAGTTGGTACCATCATGAACGGTAGCATCGAACCATACACAGTGGCTATAAGGTGAAATTATAAAAAAAAAAAAAAAAAAAAAAAAAAAAAAAATTTTGTTTTCTTTTTATTGTCCCAATTAGAAAAACAAGAGAAAAAAAAAAGAGAAAAATATTATTTATAAAAATTCCAACCTGAATATCCAAAAGTAGCTTTCTTTGCGTCTTCGTAATATCGATAAAGAATATTACGTTCATACTCGTATTTCATATAAAATCTCCAATCCTTCTGCATTGTCATGAATAAATCCTTCATCTATGTCATCATTTATGTATATATATATATATATATGTATGTATAGTTGTATAGTTTTTATATCGACGAATATGGATCATTAACAAGTTTCATATATCGAACGTACTTGCTCAAAATTATATGCAAAATTGATATATTTTGCTAAACACATGAGACTGATGATAAAGGGTGCCACACCCTCCATGAAGGCATCCATATCAACTATAGCACATATCAAACCACCGCCCTAAAATTTTTCATTTAATTTATATTTCGTGTCAATTTTATGACGAAGAATATTTTGTAAAAAAGATTTTGTAACAGTCATAAAAAAAAAAAAAAAAACTTTAATGATAATTTAAAAATTCTCTCTCTCTCTCTCTCTTTCTCACTTTCACTTATTCTCGTTATTCGATTATTTTTACCTGAAAAATTAACTGCGCTGCAATAGTTGGCACGAATATAACGGATATTAGAAATCTTTCTAAGGTATTCTGTGATGGCCATTGTCCAAGAACATTCATCAGATATCTGTTGTAACGAAGATATTGATACTGAATTTTGTCCATCTCGTTGTGTCTTAGGGATTTTCTTTGAAATTGTAGTGGAATACAATGATCAATCATCGGTTCCACGATGTCGAAGACAATTATATGCACGCTTTCATTATATATTCCCCTTGTATTTAAGTATCAGTATAATAGTCCGAAATGAGACATGCTATGTCCATTATAGACAATCCTATATCTTTCGATTCTCTCAAAGAATGAACAAATTATTAAAACATACTATAGAATCTACGATTCCAATGATTTACATGTCAGTTCTATTTCTAACACTTTATATAAAAGATATTTTCTGTGATTTTATTGATATACTCAAATCAAAGTATTCTGATATAATTATTTTTTTTTAACTATTTGATATAGTTTTTTGACTTTACGTTATCGTCATGGTAACATTCGTTTGCGATAACGATTAAGGTGAAACATTTTTTAGAATTAATAATATAAATTTTTCAAATATCCATTGAAAATTTGTTAGGTTTGAATTTGAGGAAGAAAAAGAATGAAATTTTTTTTCTTACGATATTATTCTCAAGATATAGTAAAAAAAAGTTGTGAAGATTTGCCGATAGATAGCGATAGTTGTCAATGCTGTCACGTGTTAAAACAGTATTTAACATTACTTCTTTCATTCGAAAGATGGCAAAGCTAGTTTATTATTAGACATTTTCACGAGTGTATTATTAACGACAGTAGATAAAGTCGATTATTTCCTTAACCGACCATAACGTAAGATATATATGATTATAAAGACATTTCATAGCAAAGTTTTATTTGTAATATGATAAATATTTTGAGAGAAATGATATAACTAAAATATAAAATATAAAATATATCAATATATATATATATATATATATATATATGTGTATATATATATATATCTGCGTTATGGAAGACTGAATAAATATTCTTTTTCTCTCCTATAGTTGATATAAATGAAAATTAGAAAATGGATCATGAAGAGGAATTTCTGAACAATTTTTTTACACAAGTTACACAATTGTGCTCTGACAAAGCTAAAGAACTTGTTGTAAGTGATTTTCATTTATTTTATTATTTCTATATGTCTCTATAAATACATTTAATGTGAATATAATTATGATATATAAAATTTCTAGGAGAAGGAACGAGAATCATGTAGACAAACACAAATGGGTCCATGGGGAATGTTATTGATGACATTACCACAAATAGCATTTACGGAACGTTCTTATGCTGATCTTGGTTTTCTTCATACTAAAAATAAAGGCTTCCTGAGAAAAGATGTATGTACATGTTCAATAGTTATATATTTTCAAACATTAATAGAAAATATTTATATAACATTATTCTTTAGAATTCCCTAAAAACTGTCTATGAGTCATTAAAGTCAGACCTTCGAAGATTAGAAGAAATGACAAGAGGAACTAATGCCATTGGTGCCATAGTTGCAGAGGTTTCTAGTCAACTTTATCAATTCATTGTAGCAAGGATCCAGTTGATAGATTTGTTAGTATGATATTTATATATTTTATTATTTTAAATCTAATATAGATATATTATTTTGTAGCTATGAAAAAATGCACAGTATGAGCGTTAACAACAAAGTAATGAAATATCAAGAATTATTACAATCTATTAATACAATAGTACAAGCACATTCTTTGTCATGTTCTCATTTGGCATTAACGGCTATCAAAACAACTTTGACGTAAATATATCCTATATTATATCTTTTGTTATAAAAAAGAACAAATAATTCATTTTTAATTATACTTATTAGTTTGGAATGTGAAATATTGGTTCAGCTAACAGAAGCTCATATAGAATTACAACATTGGAGATTTTTACCTACTCTTATGGCACTTTTTGGAGCACAAACACGTATGTCAGCATGGGAAAGAACTTTACAAAGTAAAGAGGTTTGTATTTCTATTTTATATATGTATTCTGTTAATAATTCTTCTATAATAATTACATATATGCTTCTAGTCATGGAAATTGGGATTTGGTGCTACATTTCTTAAAGCCAATCAACAGCCAGCATTGTATCAGTGGTTAGTAAAATTAAAAAATACCATATTAGCAAAATGTTCTTTATATTTTCATACAACACTGAGCCAACAAGCTACTCCAGGAGAAATGAGAAGTATAATGAGTAAACAAAGTGTGGATTATTATCATAAGTAAATTACATTTTTAATGATTAATAAATTCATACAATTGAAATATTCTTTAATAATTTTCATATATTTTAGAATTCAAAGTTTTCAACGTAAACACGATGTAGTAGCTGTTTTAATAGTATTTGATTCTAGAGGAATGAAGGATTCAGGAGCAGGTTATAGGCATTCTGGTAGAAAATCTGAAATGTCAGAAGAGTTTACAGTTGTTGTTAGTTGTCCATATGTAAGTATAATATAATTGATTACAAAGAAAAAAATACAAATTATAAAACATAATTTTTGAAAAATATATTTTTAGGCATTTACACAAAAACCATTGATCCATTGGGATAATATACAAAACAAAATAAGAGAACGTTACGCAGAACTTCTTACTATGGATAAAATAATTTATGCTAAGAGTATAAAGGTGAATTTGATAAATTATTGTAATAATTCTTACATTCTTGTTATATTTTTATCTTCAAAATATTTATCAATAAAAACAAAACATTTTTTTTTTTCTAGGATTTATGTACATATGCATTGTATAATATGGATCCAAAAATGACTTTGGTGACTATATATGAGACTGAGAAACAGAAGGACAAAGAAAGACATGTCTCTACATTTATGTCAGATATGTGTACGCAAATCAAGTGCAATAAAATTTATGAGTCTTTGAAATTGGCAAAATAAGTAAAATAAGAATAAACAATTGTAAATTATCTACAAGATGTACAACCATAATCCCTTCGGTACTTACATTTTTATCATTTTCTTATTATTACTGTATTAAATATTCTTAAGTTATCAGGAAAATTAGATAGAAAGATAAATAAACAACTACAAGCTGCTAACTTTTACAATGCAATGTATTGTAATTCTTTTCTTTCTTTTTTATTTTTCTACAATTTTTTTTTACAATAATATTTCCTTTTAAAATAACCTTTTCTTATAGATTATAAAAAATTTCTTTCCCAATGAGTATCAAAATGCAAGGGATAACAGCTTGTACAATCTAAACAAAATATTATTGACCAAAAAAAGGAAGTTGCATATTAAGAAAAAATTGATGATAAAGCGTATCATAAATCTTTTTTTTTTTGGCTTTCTCTTATTGTAAATACATTTAAATGTTAATTATTCACACATATCATTATGCACATTGCAATAATATTAATAATATAATTTTTCCTTGTTGAAAAATGTTTATATCAAAATCATCAATATTTTTAACTACTTCAATTGATAAATAAGAACATGACTATTATTTGCAAAAATAAAGATTATGCACATTGCAATAATATTAGTAATATACTTTTTCCTTGTTGAAAAATGTTTATGTCAAAATCATTAACATTTTTAATTACTTCAATTGATAACTAAGAACATAACTATTATTTGCAAAAATAAAGATTATTACATATATCACTTTATTATTAACCACACGTTAATCTTCAAATTCTTTTAAATTGTTATAATATTGAGATAAAAATCCATTGATAATGTTTCTCTTATTTTATCAATTAAATTAAAATAATCATTTGAAATTGAATTCCTTCAAAATAAATTCTAAACTATTATGAATTGGTCAAAGAATATAACAGAGAAACTTTATCAATGTAAATCCTTTCAGTTACATCGACATAAATTCTATTCTTTAACGCAATACCGCCAATAATTTATTATTAATATTGCAGGAAATTTTAATAGGCCGACTTCACTATTATATATCTCTTTTAACTCTTATAGCAATTCATAGTCACTTAAAAGAGAATTCTTTATTATCATCGAAAGAAAAGAGAAGATCAAAGAAAAGAAATTTAATATTGTAATACACGTGATAGGAAGAACATGAAATCGTTGGATTTCTATCGCGAAGACGATTGCAAAGAGTATTACAAAGTTTTACAATTCTTTATGCGTATATGCGGTTTATGGCCTTATCAATCATTTTACGCTAAATATTTCTTTATCATAATGACAATATTCTTATGTGAAGGGGTTCTCATTGGACAGGTATAGATACATTCATACTTATATATCATACACATCATACACATCATACACATCATACATATATTATATATATATATATATATAAATATTATTGTAGAGTAAAAGTATATTAGATTGAAAAAGAAAAAGACAAATTAACAACAAACAATAATAGAAAATCTCTCTGTTGAAATGTGTTACTTTTTTTCTTTTTTTCAATCTAGTTATTAGAAATAGTGCAAGTTCGAAATGAATTAAACGAAGTGATCGATTGTATACCGAATATATTGATATCAATCTTTGTTGGGATAGAATTCTTAGGACTCATATTCAACTCGAAAAAGGTACGTTATTTATATCATAATAATAAATTATTAAATAATAAATCGTTAATAATCCTCACATGGTATCTATACAGGTGAAGAAATGTATTGATAGAATCGCTAAGGATTGGCAATATTTGTCTTCGAACACTGAGATTGAACTGTTGAAGTCGCATACCGTTCAAGGACGAAAATTAGCCATCGGTTACTTATGTAAGATAATAAACGATACGATTAAAATAATAATAATAATAATAATAATAATAATGATAATAATTATTAATATTAAAAAAAGAAAATGGACGACAAATGAAACAGAATGAACACTAAACTGAATGAACAAACATGAAACATACAATTATCTCAGTTTCCAACAAAACACAATAATCAAGTACACAGAGATTAAAGAAGATTACACCTTAAATCATAATAGAGAATCAGATTTATAATTAGATTGTAAAAACTTACAATTAAAAACTTATTCAAAACAATAAATATATACTAGTCTATATAACTTAATCATTTGGTATAATAAAATGGATGGACATGGACCTAGAAAAAAAAAAAAGAAATATATTAAAACTAGCAGAACTTACAAAATTCCATGAGGTATACCCTAAATCATAAAAAAGAAATACTAACAATAAATATGAATGAAAAAGACAAAGGATTTACAGATGTACAACAATTGTATACAAACAAAAATCAAAAATACTAAACCTATATCTACATAAACACAAAAAAAAAATTCAAAAAGCAGTTATATTCAAAAAAATATGTAACACCATAGTGTGAGCATTTTTAAATATAGAAGAAAAAGATTAAACTTGATAGAGATTCATCTGATTAGTCTAATTTCTCAATAAATAGAAGAAAAATAATAATAATAATAATAATAATAATAATAATAATAATAATAATAATAATAATAATAATAATAATAATAGTAATGATAATAAAAGATAGACCAAAAGAAGATTGAATTTACACATTTTTTCTTATTTTTCATTTTATTACAGTTTACATGTCGCTTACCGGATTCATGTTTATGCTGCAACCAATACTCATACTGAGTTTAAATTCTGATAATTCAACAAATATACAATCTACTATTCCGTATCGCGTGCAATATGGCATTGATATAGAAAAATATTATTACGAGATATTATTTCATTCTTACATTAGCGTACTCTCTCATATGCTTATTTTATCTTCCATAAATTTAATATACATCACGTTTATTCAACACGCCTGCGGATTATTTTCCGTGATCGGGTAAGAATCCGATCGTACCTTTTAATACGAGAGAATAATCAAAAGTATAAATGTTTTTCAAGTGTCATTTGCTTCAAAATACAATATCAAAATAGAATATCAAAAATCATCTTTTGTGAATGGATAATTTTTTTTTTTTTTTTTTTTTTTTCATATAACTATTTTCTTGATGGAATATATTACAATATAATTAATCGATATTATAATTTAATAAATTAAAATATTTTTTTATTTGATACATAGAAAAATTTATATATAATATGTTCTTAAAGGAATTAAATATAATTACGTGTTGATGTAAGCCTGATGATTCCCCTCCATTTGTTAACAATTAACGGCTAGTAGGATTTAATGAGTTTTTTCAGTTACAAATTGGAACATATTGGCGATGAAAAAAATTTGAACGATGATCCGAACGTTAAGAAGATCGATGACAACAATTATCGGATTGCATTGGATTGTCTACGAAAACATATTAAAGTTATAGAGTTCGTATCAACATTAAATTATTTTGTTTCATTTAAATCTAATTTGAAATTACAATTTTATAGATTTTCCGAGGACATAGATGCATCATTCTCGGTTAGTTATTTTTTTGGCTTGGGATTGTTTATGTCAATTTTAGCTGTTTCTGGTACTCAGGTAAAAGAACAAAATAAATATATAATTAGAAAAATTATTTTTGTTATAACAAAAATTAATATTTAATATAACAAAAATAACTTAAAATTTATCATTGATCTCTCTACAGGTATTACTGCATTCCGATCATATAATTGAAGCTGTGAGATACGCATGTCTCTTTATATCCATACTTATTCAATTCTACTGGTTATGCTGGCAAGCACAGCGCTTATTGAATTATAGTAATGTACCTTACGATAGCGCGTGAGTTAAAATCGTCGCTTTAAAATTTCATTTATAATAAATATTTATAATATTTCATATATATTATAAAATATATCTCATAAAATATTTCAATAAATGTCAATAATTTTTTTGATATATTATATAAAATATATATATAATATTTATATATTTAAAAATAAAATATATAGTATTAATATTTTTAGAAATATATATGATGTATATAAAAAATGTGAAATATTTATATCTATATTTGATGTAAATATTTCATTATAATTTTATATAAATATTATTATATGAAGTAAAATTATAATTATATATATATATATATATATATATATATATATATATATAATATTTATATATTTAAAAATAAAATATATGGTATTAATATTTTTAGAAATATATATGATGTATATAAGAATGTAATATTTATATCTATATGATGTAAATATTTCATTATAATTTTATATAAATATTATTATATGAAATAAAATTATAATTATGTATATATCATTTATAAAATATTTATATATATATATATATATATATATATATATATATATATATATTAAAAAATCAAAGTATATAATATTAATATTAAAACATTTAGAAATATATTTGATATATATAAAAATGTATAACATTTATATTTATATTTGATATAAATATTTCATTATAATTATATATATATATGTGTATATATGTATATGTATATATATAAATATTATAAATAAAATATAAATATTTCTATTTTAATATTCAATAATTTTAGGATTCAAGGACGTTGGTACTATACTTCAACACGTTGCAAGAGAACACTTATCTTGATCATGATAAGATCTTTAAAGCCATGTGAGATAACAGCAGGAAATTTAATCACTTTCTCCATAGAAACGTTCAGTTCGGTAAGACTTTGCACGTGATCTTATACAAGAAATCAACGAATTTAAACTTTCCCATCTTTTACTCTTTTCTTTTTCTTTTTTTTTTTTTTTTTTTCTTTACACAAAGGTATTACGAACGTCGATGTCTTACTTCACCGTATTGCAATCAATGCATTGAATTATTACATCCAAAGCACATTACATCCGAAATGGCAAATAGTAAATAGGATAATAAATTTCGATTGTTAGAGATAGCAAATGACATAATTAATAAATAAATAAAATGTCTGTGATAAAATATATTTAGATACATTACGTTTTTTAAGATAGTTTAATTTTCTTATATTTCTTCGTATGTTTATCGATCTATCTATCTATCTATCTATCTATCTATCTATCTATCTTTTTTGCTTTCTCTTCTTCTTCTTCTTTGTATCTTCATGTTCTTATTTTTCTTCTTCTTCTTCTTCTTCTTCTTCTTTTGATTTTCTTCACGTATCATACAAAAGCTTCTTTCATAGTCGACTATATTAACGCGCAAGTCGGACTGAATGAAAGAGAATAAATTAACGCAAAATCCTCGAGGATATAGATTATACTTCAATAAAGGTAGAACATCAAATTAACTTCATTCGCATGTATAGAAAGATATTAGAAATGTTCTATAGAAAGTCAAAGACTCTCTTCATTTAAATATGCAAAATCTATCCTGGTACGCTTATTATTCTTTCCGTTTTGAAATAATCGATGACAGAGAAGAGCTTAGTGAAAGAGAGAATCTTTAATTTTTACATAGTAAGAGAGAAGAGTATTAGAAATAAAATCTAATACTATAATCGATCTATCAACGATGACTGAAGTACCTAACGAATTTTTTCATACATATTATTATCATTACAATGTAAGATTTTTACAAATTATTGGATTATGGCCATATCAATCAGTCATTTCGAAAATCGTTTGTTTAACAATGAGCTTTGTAATAGCGGAAAGTATCCTAATTCCACAGGTAAAACAACAACAACAACAACAACAATAATAATAATAATAATAATAATAATAATAATAATAATAATAATAAATAATAATAATAATAATTTCATTGTCTCAATGAGTTTTATGAAAACTTATTAATAATTTTCATTTGAATATTTTTCGCAAATTTCGAGTAGATCTTTGCTGCTATTAAATTAACTCAAGTCAATACGATTAACATTCTGAAGTGTATACCAACAATGGTAATAGCCATTGCATGTGGTATTAAAATGATTAATAGTATTTATCACACTAATAATGTATGTATATATGTATATATATATATATATGCACGTATCTGTATATTTATTTATTTATTAAAATTATAAAATATATTGTTTTCGATCGTTTTGATCATAATCGAATTTACAGATTAAAACGTTACTTTTGAATATGATTAAAAATTGGAATTTAATCACTGGAGAAGAAGAAATTCAAATTTTACGAAGTTACAGTGAACGTGGTAGACAATTAACTTTAAACTACGCATGTAATTAAAAAGAAAAATATTACATCACAATCATGATTCCATGTTTAAATATATATATATATATATATATATAAATATACATTCGCATAGGTTGCATGTTAATGACATCGTTAACATTCATTATGTTTCCTATATTCAAAATTCTAACTGAAGATTCTGAAACGAGTGATAAGTCGATCATACCTTTCGAAGTGGATTATCTTTCTTTGATCGACATTAAAAAATATTATTATTTTATATTGATCCATTGTTATATATGTGTTATCGCACATGTTCTCATAATAGTAGCAGTGGATACCATATTCATAACGTTCATTCAACATAGCTGTGCAATGTATGCAATTCTTGGGTAAGTATTATATGTATAAGTGCATGCATATATATTTAAGGTGTCCCATAAGTTTTTTTCGCGTCACGTTATATATGACCTTGAGCCGGTTATATTAATAAACATGTAGCTTTATCTATTGTACGTTTATGGCATCAGTTTCAGTCGTCTCAGAGTTCTTTCAAAATACGTTTCATTGGTGACAAAGTCTCTTTTAAAATCTTTTTCTATGCCATTCAATATGGATAGCCAAAAGAAGCATTTGCGACATGTTATGCTTCGTTGCTTTAAAAAAGATAATGCAGTGCAAAGGACACTGCAGACGAAATTTGCACCGTTTATGGGAGTGGTACTACGACTATTAGAATTGTTCGCAATTGGTTTAAGAAATTTAGAGCTGACAATTTTGATTTGAAAGTTGAAGACCTCAGTGGCCGCCAAGCAACGACGGATACGGACCTCATCAGGAGTATGCTAGCTGAAAATCGGCGATATAGTGTGCGCGAGATAGTGAATGCCACTAACATTCCCAGGACAACGGTATATAATTATTTAATCAAGATGGGATATGTGAATCGGTATGAGGTTTGGATTCCACGCCAATTGACGGAGATCGAACTCTTATGAACTCTGCGTCTCAACGTACGATTTGTTTCTTCAGCAACATGAAAAAAAAATCCTTTTTTAAAGAGACTCGTCACTGTAGACGAGAACTTGAATTTTATATCATAATGTGCATAGAAAATGCACTTGGTCTAAGGAAAATTGATCTTCAACTGTTACGAAATCAGGATTTCATTCGAAGAAAGTTCTTTTGTGCATTTGGTGGGATTGGAAAGGTGTAATGTACTACGAGTTCCTTTCACAAAGTGAAACAATCAATTCTACAAAATATTCCAATCAACTTGATAAATTGAAAGCCACCTTAGCCAAAAAATGGGCAGAATTGGTGAACCAACGAGGTGCACGTTTTTCATCAGGACAATGCAAGACCGCATGTCAGGTTGACTGTAAGACAGAAACTCTTACAGTTTGATTGGGATGTTCTACCCTTCGTACTTCCCTAGACCTTGCACCCCACCCTCCCTCATCCGATTATTAATTATGTTTCTCTCGTTAAAAAATTCTCTCCGTGATAAATGTCAGAAATCCGAAAGCGAAATAAAAACGCACCTTGATGAATATTTTTCAAGTAAGTCTCAAGAATTTTGGAAAGACGTAAGGAAAGACATAATGAGACTTCCTGAGAGATGGTGGAAGATAATGGAGCAGAATGGTTCATGGTATAACACAGTAAATCAACCTTAACCCCTTGACATACAATGACGTCTGAGAGACATTCATTTCATGTGCCATTGTAGACCTTGACGTCAGTTTGATCTCCGAGGTGTCAGGAACGGTCTCCGGTGGACGCCGTACAGTACATTATTAAATTATTCAATTATTTCATTCGTGTGTCGATTCTGTTTTATTTAAAATGAATCCATTTTAGGGAAAGGATATACGCTGTAGTATTTTTCAGGTGCATCAAATTCCATTTTATTTGTATGTCAAGGAGTTAAACAACAAATATCGTCTATTGATTTAGCATCAAAAAAAAAAAAAAAAAAAAAAAAGAAAAAAAAAAAAAAAAAAAAAAAAAAAAAAAAAAAAAAAAAAAAAAGGAAAAAAAAAGGAAAAAACTTATGGGACACCCTAATATATATATACGCATATAATTATATAGTAAATATTACATATAATATTATATATGTATATATATATATATATACAACAAATTAGTTATATGTATGAATATATATATATATGTCAAAGTTTTTATGATTAAGATAAACATTATTATTATTATTGGCATAAAATAGCATAATTCTTTCTCTTTCTCTTTATTCGAATAATTTATAATAACATTGGAATAGATATCATTTAGAACATATGGCGGACATCGAGAACGAAAAATCAGATCTTTGTTTAGATGACAAAGCTTATTGGAGAATCATTAATTGCATTCGTCAACATAATGAAATAATCGAGTTGGTATAGAGTAATAATATTTCTGATGATTAATATACGTATTTAAAATGAGAATATTGAATATTTTTAAGCGTATGAAAAAAAATTCTTTTTCAATGTTGCAGTTTTGTCGATCGCATCGAATCTATATATTCAACATATTTCTTCTTTCAATTGGGTTATAATATGATTAATATAAGTATTACTGGTACACAGGTACATATATATATATATATATATATATATATATATTATTATTATTATTTATATTGAAATCTATAGATTACATTAAAATTTTTAATCAATTCAAAAAATAATATTTATTCTCTTTTATAGATAGTATTATACGCTGATGTAATGTTCGAATTTATTAGATTAATCCTTTTAACTTTAGCTCAACTATTTCATTTATTTTTTGAATGTTGGCAAGCACAACAAATAATAGATCACAGTTCTTTAATACACGAATCCATGTAAGTTCATGTACTCACATTTGTGTTTGATAATTTTTGTAAAAAAGAAAAAAAAACAGAAGAAAAAGAAGAAAGGAGGGAAAAAAGAAAAATATTAAATCATAGGTAATATAAATAGATGCAGAGCTACTTGGTATCGGACCACGGAGAAATCAAAAAAACTAATTAAAATAATGTTAATAAATACTTTGGAAACATCAAAGCTCACTGCTGGTAAATTGCTCGTCTTATGTTTCGAATGTTTTGCCTTGGTAAGTACTTACACATGACTATACATTGTTAATTATGTACGTATATATATATATATATATATATTTTTTTTTTTTTTTATTTTATTTTTTTTATACAACGTATGTATATATATATATATATATATATATATATATACATATATATACATATATATCCCACATACATACAAATTCAATAAATATGTTTACTTTGTTTTATTTTTAAACCGGAGGTCGTCAACAAATCAGTATCATATTTTACAATTCTTCGAACAATGCAATAAAAGATAAAAACTTAATGATTCAATGTTGAACAATCTAAAATAGTATAATGGAATTATTTAAACTATTATTGTTTATTTTGAATATATTGTAAAATGACGATCTTTGTTAGTTTACGATCGTACGTAGATCTTGTAATAGAACTTATATTTTAATAAATAATAATTATATGAAAGAGTCATTATATTATTGATAGAAAACAAGCGAGAAAATAGAAACAAACGAGGAAGTTAATTTAAAATAATTAAAAATCTTTGAAACCAGTAATGAATAAATTAATTAAAATATTTTTTTTACTTTTAAATTTGATATGAATACGATGCCTTTTTAAATCTTATCGTAACGTAAACACAACGAAACAAGAGTAATATAATTTTGCGTGTAAATGATAAGTCGATCGATCTCGTTAAAAATTCGATTGAGGGATTTAAAAAGGATATGGTCGTAATTGAATGGTATTATTTTCAATGAAAAGCTCAAATGAAAAAAGAAATTTTTACAAAAATCTTTACTTTTCATAACTTCATTGTTCTATGTAAATTCAATTATCCATTCCATGTAAATTCAATTATACGACGATGACCATCTGCCAAAGAATCCTAATATTAAATTAGTAATAAAGTATGTATTACACTTGTTTTATTAGAATGTGTTAGATTAGATATTGCATATATACATATATACATATACGCATATAAACGTAATCAATAAACGAATATATGTGCATACTTATAATAAAAAAGATATAGGAAAGGAAAAAAATAGATCAGTACAATTTTCATTGTAAATATTCTTTCGTTATACTATTGTGAAATTTATAAAAAAAAAAAAAAAAAAAAAAAAAACAAAAAAAAAACAAAAAAAAAAAGGAAAAAACGAAGATAAATCATTATACATACTACGTAAATGTCACACGAATTATAAATATCAAATCATTTATATTATTTTTATTCCTTGATAATAAACTATCGCAGATGAGACACAAACACACGCACACACATATATATATATGTATATATACACATATACATATACATGAACGATATACGATGTATACGATATATACATATATATATTATATATATGTGTATAGTAAACGCGAAAAGGAAATAATTTCTTTTCATTCATTTATTCACATTATAAATGTATGCTAAATAGATTATTTTTGTTTTGTTTTGTTTCTTTGTTTTTTTTTTTCTTTTTTTTTTTATATTCAATAACGTCTTACATTAAGGTACCAACGTGATTAGCAAGAGGATAGGTAAAGCACGAATTGTAAGAGAGAGAGAGAGAGAGAGAGAGAGAGAGAGAGATAGAGAGAGAGAGAGAGAGAGAGAGAGAGAGAGAGAGAGAGAGAAACAAAAAAAAAAGAATAGAAAAAGGGAAAGATAAACGTATCACGCGAAAAAAAATCACTCTTCTTTATGTCGGAGCACCACGTCTTTTATTTAAGACCTAATTTAGATTTACAATCTCGAATCTAAACGAAGCCCTATAAAATCGACATCAAAGACGGAGATAATCAGAATGATAATTTTTTTTTCAATAATAATTCAAACTATTCTTATCGGTTTTACTTAAATACGTGATTTGCCTATCTCGAATAAAAAAAATCTTACGTATCTATGTATCAAAATAACTAGACGATATAGATAGATAGATAGATAGATAGATAGATAGATAGATAGAGAGAGAGAGAGAGAAAGAGAGAGAGACAGAGAGAGAGAGAGAGAGAGAGTCTCGCTTATAAGCGACGATCGAAAATGATCCCTCCTTGTCGAAATAAAAATGCAACGAACGATAGATTTTTTTTTTTATCGTATTTATATGATTCGAATGAAATTCAGTCAAGTTTATAGATTCTTTCGTAAGAATGAATGAAAGAATATCTATATTTAATAAATCGTTTTAAACCAATAACATGTTTTTTTTTTCTCTTTTTTTTTTTTTTTTTTTTTTTTTTTTTTTTTTTTTTTTTTTAAGGAATACGTACGTGTATATAGTGAGAGATATGTAAATACATACATAAATATATATATATATATATCTTTGGAGGGAAAACGACGAAAGTGAAATCTAAACTTGAAAATCTAGGAATTTTCGAAATGAAATCGCGGCACGCTTTTAAATAATAATTTACAACAAAAAATATATATGTATATATATATATATATATATATATATATATATATAGGGTATAAAGATCGTATCGATGCGACATTATCTTGAAAAGATAAAGATAAAGATAAAGAAGAAGATAGATGAGGGGAAAAAAAAAGAAGAAGAAGAAGAAGAAGAAAATATAAAATCACCTCATTCCTAACTAACGATAGTAAGTACAGAAAATGTTAGGCGATCGTACGACCTCGCACAAGAGAGCATCGTGCCATGTAAATAAACTCTTCCTTCGTGCTACTTTTTGTTTTTGCGTTAAAAATGGAAACGGAGCGTATCGTAGCTCGAAAGGGAGCATCTTTCGAAGAAGATTATGCATCGCACACCGGATGTCAGCCACGCGAACGACCTTAGAAAACGTTCGTACAACTCGATTATTCGAGTTTACTTTAGAAAACAAGGCACAGGACGGCACTTAGTATTTCTTGATTGTTTCTCTTTTCGTTTTTTTTTTTTTTGTTTTTTGCTCTTTTCTTTTCTTTTCTTTTTTTTTTCTTTTCTTTTCTTTCGCATATAGGGTTTTTCCTTCTTTTTTTTTTTTTCTTTTTTTTTCGTTTGTTTTTTCTTTCTTTTTAATTCTCACTCGAGTTGGACTCGATTTTTCTCAAATCACGTTTCTAAATCCTTCGATTCTTCTTTTTTCCTTCCGCCATTTTGAAGGAATAGAGAGATTGATTGATTTGATTGATTGATCGATTAATTTGATTGACTAATTGGCTGACTACTGATTGTATACGACGAATGTATGCCTCTGGCACACATCAATCGGAATCGAAAAATTCATCCCACTTCAAACGATCTTCGAGATGTCTTCAAAGCATCAATAATTGTACGGCCCGTATTGCGATCCATGATAATACGGTCCTGGATACGCTGCTGGTGCTGGATAACCCGCATAAGCGTACTGCTGCTTCTGAGGATACACTGAAATTACAGAGAGAAAAGAAATTCGTTAAGGCATTTTTCTCGTTCGATGATTTAAGTATAAAAAGAAAAAAGAAAAAGAAAAAAAAAAAAAAAAAAAAAAAAAAAAAGGTCACTAAAAATATGTCGCCGTTCGGTCATTCTACTTTTTCTTTCTTTCTTTTTTTTTTACATTTATATATTTATTTTACGAATAACGTCGTATTTATCGATAAATAAATTCAAATCTTAACGAAACAAATATACTTTTCATTTATACATTTTCCTTTCGGACGTAACAAAAGTATATATATATATATATATATATATATATATATATATATATATATATATATATATGTATATATGTAAACGTGAACGAACATCGAACGACGAGACTAGATAGGTCTCTCCGCATTCGTAAATACGGAAATTCTTTACGGTAAAAGGCGACAACAGCGTATAAGTAAGTACATTTATCGTGGGTCATCGAATTAGGCAAGTGTGTCGCTTTCGACCGTCCGTATGAATGTATGTTTCTATCTATGTTATTTGCAAGTCGTTCTTTTATAACGAACGTTTAAATTTTCTTTTTCCTTTTTTTTTTTTTTTTCTTTTTTTCTTAACTTAACGCATTAAAAAGAAGAAATTCGATCGAATCCATAAATAAATAATTGATCTTATTAAAACTAAACTATAAATATATAAATATATAAAAATATATATATATATATGTGTGTGTGTGTGTGTATCATAAATGTGATCTTATGAAAATCAAATGATAATTCGATCGATCGTAAACATATCATTTTAAAATGATCTATTTCGATCTTTCTCCCGTTCGATGATCAGACCGTGACAAAATCACTTTGATCCACGATGGAAACAGAGCGTGGAATGAAAAAGTAAAAGTTTCGCGGACACGAATGTCGAACGTCGCGTTTTCGCCGAATGACATTGATACATGACCGAGATAAAATGATTTCATTATAATTCATTGGATCTACGATTGGATTAGATATTCGACGAGTCATCGAACGTTAAAAATCTATCATCCATTAGTATTGAGCTAGTTTTTTTTTTTTCTGTTACAAAACGAATTCGAAGGAAAAAGTCGGATGGGAAATTTAAAAGTTTATATACAATTCGTTATGTTTTGGTTAGAGGAGTTAAACGTAATGAATTATTGATATTCATCGATATTTTATGTGATAACTATTAATGCCAAATTTTTCTTCTTTTTTTTTTCTGTTTTTGTTCTCTTTTTTGTTTTTTCTTTCTTTTGCTTTCTTGTTTTTTTTTTTTCTTTTATTTTTTTTTTTTTTATTTGTACAAATATCTTATAGCCCATCGCCTTAACGTTAATTCGATGCATTACCCTAATTTATCAATTATTTTATGCACGAGGTGTTACCACTAATGATTCTCTATATTATTACACTATTATTATTATTATTATTATTATTATTAATATTATTATTATTATTATTATTATTTGATTGTAAATGAACTATGTCCTAGTTTTGTTCATCTTAACGATTCGCATTAGTTTTTAATGGGTCAGTCAATTCAATGGATCGTTCTTTGTTTTCATTCGACGGATCAATGATTATAGTTAGTAGAACATACTGAACGCAATGGATGAATGTTTATTCATGCAGCAACGCTTGGAACAATGACGTTACAAAAACTTAATGCTAATTAATTGTAATAATATTACAAATGAATCATTAACGTTGAAAGAGATATCGCTGTTAATCGTTATTTACAACGAGAACAATATTTTTGTTATTAGTTGTCATAAACGTGCCAAGATAACGCTCATGCAAATAATATAGATATTGAAATTTTATAATAGAACGTAATTATTCCACATTAATGAGCACACGTCGCCTTGTAATTTTATTGA